TTTCTTTTTTTTGTTTTTTTGCGGTACGCGGGCCTCTCACTGTTGTGGCCTCTCCCGTTGCAGAGCACAGGCTCCAGACGTGCAGGCTCAGCGGCCATGGCTCACGGGCCCAGCCGCTCCGCGGCATGTGGGATCTTCCCGGACTGGGGCACAAACCCGTGTCCCCTGCATCGGCAGGCGGGCTCTCAACCACTGCGCCACCAAGGGAAGCCCCCATGATAGATTCTTTAATCATATTGACAACACTTTATAAGCAAAGAAGCACAATGGTTCTAGGAGAAAAGGTCATTCTATCCTGGTTTTATAGATGTGGAACCTACTGCAAAGCATTATAAAGAAATTTGTTGAAGACCATAGACTAGGATCAGAAAATAAATCTTGTTTTACTTGTGATGTTTTCTTTTTAGCCCTCATTATTCATTTTAAAATGTAAGAAAAATAATTGGAAAACATGTTAAGCTTTTCTGGAAGTTCACAAAGATGCTTTTAGATCATCAAGGGTATCATTTAGAAAATTACAGAAGTACAGCGAATTGTATCTGCAAGAAAAATAGAAATGGGTAACATTCCACTTTGTTGAGGATCTGTGGGATGAGACTTTCATACAAGTTATTGGTCTTGCTGCCCCTTGGTTCTCCGTTGATCTGAAACTCCCCTCGCTTCTTAAACTGGCAGGTGGCTTGGAACAGAACGGACAGGAGACCTACTGGAGAGGGAGCGGCCAGGTGGCAGTAGGTCTCTTCCCTTCCACAGCACAGGATTGCTCTCAGAACAATCAAAAGACTTCCTTTTCAGTTCTAAAATTGTTTTTCCCCTCATTTAAGAAATATCTTGGACATGTCGACATGCAATTAAAAAATTGTCTTGATAATCACTTTTGCTAGTTGTATAATGTCATTGATTGGATCATACCTAATTTATCTGAAATTTCCATACCACTGGACATGCTGTTTCTAAATGTTTGCTACCATTCTTTGTATATTAATCTTTAATCACATTTCAAATAATTTCCTTTTGAAAATTTCCTAAAAGTGAAGTTACTAGGTGACAAATGTGAATATTTTAAGTCTCTTAGTGACTATTACCAAACTGCTCTTTGGAAAGATTAATCCAGTTAATCTAATTTATACTGTCAAATGCAGCATATGATACTATTTGCTTCACCAGTATGATTTTTTAAAATTAGGAAAAGAAAAACTCAAGTCATTGAAGGTTATAATTTTTTTGGTCTTAATTCCATTTTTGATTAGTAACAGTACAGGAACTCTTCTATAATTTTATATTACCATTTTTATTTCCTCCTCTGTGAATTGCCTGTTCCTGGCCTTTGCTCATTTAAAAAATTTCTGATTTGTATAACTGTCTTTGTATATTTAAAATATTAATGAATTGGTCTCATATTTATGACAAACATTCCCAATTTATAATTTATAGTTTTCTTTATGATAATTTTTAGCTTTGGAAATTTTAAGTCATGATGTAGTAGAATTCCTGTTATTTCCATTGTGTTATATTGTTTCATGGTCTGAAAATTCTTAATCAGACACATAATAAAACCTAACAAATTTTTCTTCTACCTTTTTTTACATTTAGTTTTTTTAATATATTTTCCCCATATAGATATTATTAGCTAATGTCCCTTCACACTCATTATTAACCAGTTTGTTCAGACCGTTTGTTGGCATCAGTAAGAAAAGGGTGTGCTTTCCTGCTCTACATTTTGGCATAAAAATTCTGGCCTTAGCAGAAGTCCTATGTAACAGCAAATCAATTCCTTGTCACAAAATAATTAATCTCTTGTCATAAAAGGATTAATCTCAGAAGAAGGTAACAGAGCATATTTGCATTATAAGTGAGCACAAATATGTATAGAAGTACATACAGCTAATGTATCTCTAATCTTTGATTCCAGCGGCCTTCAAAACTTACCACAAGTTATTTTTGCACTAATAGCCATTTTGAGGGAGGTGTCGGCTAATAGCTGGTAGGAAAATGAATTATACAAGGAAAGTTTAAACTAAAATAATCATTTTCTTATTCTAAATAAATTATGGTCCCTAAATATAGCAATAAATCTGCAGTGAAAGATAATATTTTTTGAAACTCCTATCAACCTTCCCCTTGTTGACATAAAAGTCTTAAGAGATTTTAGAACTAGATTGAATTGATCAATTGTATCAGTCATGCCCATATAGCTTTTTAATTGTTTTCTCTATTTTCTTATTTCTTATGTGCCATTTCATGTTCTCACTAGACAAAGCTTTGCAGAGAGGGCAAGGATCATAGATTAAAGGTATTTTGGAATTCTATTAAATATAACATTCAGCACAAAATAGATGATCATTATACAAAGCAGCAGGCATTAGATACAGCTAGAAATTTATCCTGAGGTGAAAAATTTTACATGAGTGAATGTTTCCGTATCAGTGTTTGCGGTTGCATACCAATCCAAAGACTTCTCAACTTCTAGTGCTGATAAATGCATTCCTATTTATCCTGAATTTCTGAGTTGATATCTTATTTCTAGGTGATATCTGATTTCTAGGAGAAAGCAATTACTCAGAGGTTACTACATTTAAAGTACAATGGTTGCTAATAGAAATATATTGAAAAAGAGTAAGACAAATAGACAATAGAACTGACCAATTTCAAATATGTTTCTTCCTATTACTTTCATCTTTACTCTTCAGAACATTGTTATGTAATTCCACAATTACTCAGAAAGGCAACAGAAGCTATTTACCTCTGCAAGTCAAAAGACATGAGATTAGAGGCTAGGAATATTTTTTCAAGTACAAAAATTGAAAGGAATGGGAGTTGGATAATAATTCATTTTGCTGAGCTTGTTTGGGTCAGTACTCTTCCTTTTCTTCTGTATAGAGACTGTCTCCTGCATAGAGACTTTTCTTTCTTTCTCTTTCCAGCTGAACAGAAGACTTCTTCTGCCTCCAAACTGGACAATTAGTCACTAAGATTTGAGCGTTTTAACAATCTGGAAAGCATCCTTTTACTAGCCACAGGATTGCAAAGAAACCATAGCTTGTACGGAAGGAAGCTTGCCATATACTAGAGAGGGCTGGACCACGTCTCCACAAATTTCTCACACTTCTCAGGTTCTTGAATCTTGCATCTGAAAGAGTGCATTGCAAAAGGATAGGCAAAGGCCCAGATTCCTCTCATCCTAACCCACCCCTTGCTGGCTAAAGAAGGATGAAATTCTGACACTGATGCGTGTCTGGATGACACTCCTTTGTTTACGTCTCCTGCTCCTGGCCAGAGAAGCATGGCTGGCATCATTTATTCAGTAAACACTGGCTGAGTATCCATAACAGCACTGTCTTTGTGCTGGGAAGTAGACATAGGTAGTGGGCATAACAATGATATTCCCCCCGGACGCTACCCAGAGTGACTACCATTGCGTTTAGGCCAATTCTGGGCATACACCTATTTATCTGTTCTTTTGCTTTTTTACTATTAGTTGCTAAAGGGTAAATTTCTCTGCAGGTTCTAAAAATTATCAAACCCTAATTGTGAGGGCACTTAATCAATGCTGCTTGTGAAAAATAAGTCAAAAGAAACTTTTCTTACCCAATTCTAGAAAAGCAAAAGACAGTCCCATGCTAAGCTGGAAAGCTTAATTCCAGCAGGCCTGAAACTGGGCTGAGTTGTTTTACTGAAATAAGACATGTACCTGCATTGCACTGACTCCTGGTCAAAGAATGGATCACACAGAATAGCAGTTGCTTGTAATCATAGTTTTGAGAGGTTTCAATTATTCATTGATTAACAATTAATGTAATGAGATTGATCACCTTGCATCTGGTCTCATTGAGACACCTGGAGGGCTCTGTCGCTCATCTAGTTATACAGCAAGAATGTACCTACATGACCATCTGGGTACTGTAAGTTCCCTGTATACAAACGAGTTCCATTCCAAGAGTGTGTTCGTAAGTCCAATTTGTTCGTAAGTCCAGCAAAGTTAGCCTAGGTACCCAACTAACACAGTCAGCTGTATAGTACTGTACTGTAATAGGTTTATAATACTTTTCACACAAATAATACATTAAAAAAAACAAAAAATGAAGAAAACATTTTTACTCTTACAGTATGGTACTTTGAAAAGTACAGTAGCACAGTACAACAGCTGGCATACAGGGGCTGGCATCGAGTGAACAGGCAAGAAGAGTTACTGACTGGAGGAGGGAGAGGAGGTGGGAGATGGTAGAGCTGAAGGGTCATTAGCAATAGGAGACAGAGTGCAATTTCACTCATGCCTGACGCAGATGGAATGCATGTTCGCATCTTTGAAAGTTCGCAACTTGAAGGTTCATATGTAGGGGACTTACTGTATAAGAAACCCCAGCTGAGAGTGCATTTTGGATCACCTTGTTTGAGGTACTTCGTGCACACATCCATGGTTCCTGGCTCCAGAGAGAAAGTACATCTGGGTACAGTTCTTACTGAGAGAGGATAATTGGACCTCCCACCTGGCATCTCTGGACCCCTCTCCCTGAGCCAGCCTTTGGCTGTGATGCACATTCTTACCTTAATGCAGCTGCTATGTCATATACTTTTTTTTTTTTTAACTGTCATTTGGGGTCCTGCAAATCCTCCTTAGCAATAGAACCCTGTCTAACTGCCACTGTTTAGTATGTATATGCTGACCCAGGCAGAGGCAAACTGCATCTATGAGGAAACATTACCAACAGGCAGAAAGAATGAACTGTATCATTCCTGAGGTAGGCAGGGCAACTGGAAGAACCTTCTACAGCCCCCAAGACATTTATTTCTCTGGCAAGTGTTCTTAGAGTTTGTTTTTAGACAAATAGAAAATGATGGTTTAACTGACACAAGCTATTAACTTTTCAGGTTATAAAAGTCTTTAAAAATAATCTGAGCTGCAGCAGGCTAACAAAACAGATATTAATGAGTATCTCAGTGAGTGAAATTAGGGAACTTACATATTTATTGCCCAGGTGTGGAGAGGATTCATCAAGCTGTCAGTTCTTGGTTTTTCCTTGTGCAGAGTGCTCACCTAAAAACAGAAGATACGCTTTGATCTATAAGCTCAGAGAGTGAATAACGATGAAAATAAAAGTTTCTTGGCTTGTTTTTTGTTTTTCAAGGAAAGTCCAATTTCCCTTCAAGAATGTCATTAGAGCCACAACTTACCTCTTGGTATTGCCTGGAAATTGTTCACCAAGATTTATGAGCTTTATTTGGCCATTGTTTATTTTTACCCTAGAGGAGAAATGCTAACTCACTGCCTGCAGATAGGGGGTGTGAGTTGGGAGGTGATAGCAAGAGAGGCACCCTAGGGAATAAGTTATTGAATTTTGCTTGTTCCATAAGCTGGCTCTGCCTGAGCAAAACTACATCATATATTCAAAATGCCATTTTATCAGGAAAACATTCTAGGGTCCTTTGTTTAAATAATTCAGTGAGAGTTTTGGGAAAATGAATTTATAGGCCAACGTGAATACTTTGGTGACGTACAAAGCAGCACAGGGAACATTGCTCAAAATAACAATGTTATTCCATCATCAATATAAAAATAAATATTAACTTAGGATGATGGGGAGCTGAGAGGCCCCAAGCCTTTTTTTAAAAAAATTAATTTAATTTAATTTTGGCTGCATTGGGTCGTCGTTGCTGCACGGGGGCTTTCTCTAGTTGCAGCGAGCAGGGGCTACTCTTCATTGAGGTGCTCAGGCTTCTCATTGCGGTGGCTTCTCTTGTTGCAGAGCACGGGCTCTAGGCACGCGGGCTCAGTAGTTGTGGCACATGGGCTTAGTCGCTCCGCGGCATGTGGGATCTTCCCGGCCCAGGGCTCGAACCCGTGTCCCCTGCATTGGCAGGCGGATTCTTAACCACTGCGCCACCAGGGAAGCCCCCAAGCATTTTTACTTGCTCTTGGATTTGTGTTCAAAGCATTTCACATTACCTGTGTCTTTCATGTAGATTCAAGTAACAACAGCAGTCACATTATATAAAAGCAGTATGGGTCCAAGTGTCCAGCTTTGAGAACAAATGTCATTGTTTTGCTCCAGCTTTTATCTGCCAGCTAGGAAACCAGTCTTCTGGGGACTCCACTGATGTCACCCGTTACCTGCACTGTCATGGCGATAGTAAATAGTACCAGAGACCTAAGAAGAAGTCTTCTGCTTCAAAAAATGTCAGGCTCAGAGCAACAGCCCTCACAGCTCCTGCCCCACTACAACCCTTTGCTCACTATTGTTTATTTAAAAAAAGCACAGCATGTCCTGGAATCCATGGCTATAAAGTACAGGAATAAGAAGTAAACAAAAGAAACATTTATTGAACCCCTACTGTCTGCCAGTACAAATCGTATGAAAAACTTCAATTCTTAATATCTCCCAAAGTCTGTCTAACTGGGAGTAGAAAGTGTGGAAAGATTCAATAACCGTATGATTCAAATAACAGTTACAATAATGATATATACGGTAAAAGCAAACAAAGTACATATACACCTAGAAAAAAACAACTGGAAAGAAATACACCAAATGCCAATACTGATCATATCAAGGTTTTCTCTCATAAGTAATTTTTAATTATTTTCTATCCTCCATTTCCCCCTATTCTCCATTATGCATAACGTGGTCAAATATTAAAATGGCAGTTTAAGCCACAAAGAGATATTCAAGGCAGTAGCGCATGCTGACTTGCCAATCAACAGTTAGAGGAGAGAAAGACCACGTACAGCTGGGACAGTCAAGGAAGCCTTGGTGTGAATGCAGAGACTGACGCAACAGCTATTGAAAGGCTGTGAAGACAGATGCTGAGTCTCTGTATGGTTTTATACATCTATGAATCTTTCCCTCATCTTTACAGTTGTTCATTTCCAGTTGTTAATGAACGTTTGTAAAACGTAAATAAACAGAAAAGTAACTGTACATTTAATGAGTAATTACCATAACATACTAATTAGTATTAGTATACTAATAATAGATGAATAATATGTAATTACCACAATGCGTAGGAGGGGAGGTGGGAGTGACAAAGGAGACCAAGGTGCTGTCTCCTCCTTCAAAAGAGCTTGAGTTCAGTGAGGAACACAGAGGATAGGAGATGAGTGACATCTGGGAAATACATGTTATTAAGTGGTTCAAAATTTGAGCAAGTGAAATCTGGCACATCATGAAAGGCCTTGTAGATGTGCTAAAGTGTTGGAACTTAATCTTAAGTAATTAAAACTTATCAGAGTTTTCTAAGCAAAGGAAAATTATAAATGGATTCAGATCTGCTTTTTCTTCCTCCAAATAGTTCAAAACCAAGTGAGGCTTTGAAATTAAATTCAGTGATACGGTATTTTCTTTCTTTTGTGGAATCATGTATTCCTTACTTTAGGCAATTTTCTTCATATTTGTATAGCCTTACATGTTAGAAATGAGATAATGTACATTAACTTTCTGAGGAGTGGTGTAAGTGGGAATCATCTTTAAAATGCATCATGTCACATGTATATTTTGTAGTAAATCATGAGGATGTTTACCTTGGCAAGACTCCTTACTAAACCTGAGTGGCATCTTGTATGTTCTCATAAAGGACTCCGTGATCTGCTATGTTTGGTGCTCATTTTTTCTGAAAGCACGTTCTTGTGTATACCCTAGTAGGCTTTCTCTTTTACATTAAAGAAAGCTCCCGATTGAAATAATCAAATTTTAAACATTATGGGCCACATTTTCAACGGAAAAACCCTGCTTGAGAAAGAACATATTTAGAAGAAGCAGGAAGTGTGGATGGATGAACACCATGGCCAATTAGAGGAAGAGGACTTGAGGCAAGGAACTGTCTTATCCGGAGAAAACACTCAGAACAATAACCATTACACATCGAGGCTTGTAGAAACCCAGAAAATTTAGCGTCCACTGGCATTCCCCCTGTAGGTGAGTTGCTGCAGAGCTCTGTTTCCTTGGAAACATGATATATTGACCTCTAAAATGGCAAAATTGATTTTGAGATATAAGACCAGAGTTTATAAATTGACATACTGACCAATCCAATGAATTCTTAAGACCATGGAATCTCAAATTTCATGTTGTTACCCACATTGGTGCATTAATTAATACTATGTCCCTTAGGCCATGTAGCACATAATATGAAATATAACAATCATCAGTTCTGAGTGGTGAGTAGTCACATATTCGTTCTATCAAATTCTTTTTCTGTATTTTTTAACTATTTAAAAATTTTTATATAGGAGATAGTGGAAAATTAGGCTAAACCTGTGAACTTATATAAAACCTAATCATTTCAGACTATTCTAGTCATATTTTAGAATGATGTCACTATTAGGGAAGAGATATTTAAGTGAAAATAATGATAATAATGTAATTTCTATTGAGTGTGGTGATCATAATTTTATAATGAAAGCATATTTGAATAAGTTTTGAAAGAAGGTAGAAAGAGATTTGTTTGCAGGTGTTTCAGGAACCATCAAATCCTGTTAATGGTGGACAGACTTTAATAAAAACTGTGGTAGTACAAAGAGAATTTGGAGGGCATTGTTTTAGATTATCAGTTCTAGGCGATTGAAATCAACTCTGAGTCACCCATTTTAGTTTTCCCCTATTACCAAATATTTTCTATAATCATCTAGGTTGACTTTTGAGAGATTATTTTATTAAAAGAAGTGTGCTTCCTAACTTGAGGTTGGCAGAAATAAAAGTACCAGAGACTAGATCTTATTATTTCCATAGTAATATTTCCTCCTTAGACCTATGACCTGAAAAGCTACTTATGAAGAAAAGGAAGTTTGGGTAGTTAAGGGTCTTCTTAACTATCCCACTGTGGTCTACCCACTTACTATTGCAGTTAGTATGAGGGTGGGAGATAGTAGCTTACACAGAATTATCCTTGGGCCTTGAAGAAGAATCAGAAAGCAAATTTGCAACCAAGAAACACAAGGTTTCTCTGTGGATTTCCCCTCCTGAAAGCCGCGATTCTGGTGTCAATTGTCATTTCCCTGGTAGAAACAGGTAGCAGAGCAGGTGGTCCTGATCTCAGCCCCCTCCTCACCAGGAGAGCCAAGGGCTCCTATACAGAGGCTTCTGGTCCACAGCTTGGAGACCCCCAGAAGCTGCCGAGTGTTCGGTTTAAATGCCGAGGGGATAAAGGAGCGTGCATGAAATTACAGGTTGTCATGCTGCTTGCAAGTCACAGGCAGATTCTGAGAACTTTTCTCGATAAATGGTGTAGTCACACTCCGGGTCCTTCATAACCTTACTCAAGACTAGTTCACATTTAGTCTGCTTGCCTGGAGGTTTTCCCTGACCAAGTAGAGTAGGCTCAGCTACTTAGTCAAGGCTGGTAAACAGCCAGGAGAAACTGGTGAGTGGTTTCCAACTATCCTGTGGAGGAATTTTACTCTTTCATTCATTCATATGGTTACCTTCAAGAGAACAGTGTGGGAATAAAGAAATGTGTAAGAGATACAAGAATGAAAGTCTCTCTTAAGAGAAAATGGCTCCCATGAGGGATTTGGCCATGTCTCTGCAGATTTTGGGTGCCCTTGCTTTTCAACCTCTTTTGTTTATCTGTTGTAGTTTGTTCTAGTTAGAATCTCCTGCCTGAAATGGGGACCTCATTCAGCCTTTGATATCTTGCTCTTCAATTGGGACTATATTTATAGGCTTTTGTTTTACAAAATTGTTTTTTGCAACATGTCTATAGTGTTTATCATCTGATAGCTCTCACTTCACATAACATATGTACTATGGGAGTATTTTGTATAGGTAAAATTGGGGGGACTGAATATAGTAAATGTCTTGATGTAACTTGGTATTTAAATTAGAGCCACGTAGATTGTTTCATAAAACTCATAATTAATTTTTATTTTTTTACTTTTTATTTTTTTGTCATATTGATGTTTTAAATATTTTGTTTACTCAAAACAAAAATGTAATCTGTTTTTTTAATTTTTAAAAACTACCTAGCATCTCATTTTTCATTGCTTTCGATACAAATATAATTCATACAAATCATATCTATATTTTGAAAATCTTTTTAGATTGCAAACCAAACAAAATCGAAACCTAAGAAACTAGAAAAAAGAAATGTAAATTTTATCAATAGGAAATTGTGTTTTGTCCTTACTGAGAAGCTCAATTAAAGTATTTGAAGTGATATAAAATATGATATACATTTTAACTGATGAATCCTAGTTCCAGTTGACTGTACACAGCCATTACCCAAACTGAAACAAAACAACAGCAATACTTAAAAAAAAAAAAACCCTGCGGCATACTTAATGTTTTTTCTGCCACTACTGCAGAATAGAAAATGCCTCTAGTCACCACCCATTCTTTAGAACACATCTGCATGCAACCTCCAAAAGCCAGATAGTCTAATAATCTTACCAAAAATGATATTTCTAGGGCTTATCTTTCCTTCATAGGAGAATTTTGTATTTCTTGGGAGTTAATGATTGAGTTTTTCTAGAGAAGTTATGCTTTTTGATTATGTTCACATGAACAAAATCCAAGTTAGATTTTGAAATAACCATTTTTCATCTAATCGACAATCTGGGAGCTTACCAGACTCATGAGAAATTGTCTTAACAGTGAGAAGCTTCACACTCTCTTTATCGGACTGAGGTCTATTTGGGAACAGAAAACATTAAGTTAGCGCCACAGTAATTAGCATTACATATCTGTGAAGGAAAGTAGACATGATACAAACAGAAAGAAGAAGATACACGTGCATATATATTTTTAAGTGTTTCTATGGCAAAACTTGTGTTTCTTCATGTACAGACACATATACTTTTATAGCACTTTCATTTCTGGAATCAAGCCAATAAATCTCTGTTATTCTGTTATGGTGATGATCATCAGCTAAATTAAACATCAAGATGGGTCACGTAGGGACTTCCCTGGCGGTCCGGTGGTTAAGACTCCGCGCTCCCAATGCAGGGGGCACAGGTTCGATCCCTGGTGGGAGAACTAACATCCCTCATGCCGAGCGGCACAGCAGGAAAAAACAAAAACAAAAAACTACCCACCTGTCATGAGGTCCATGTTGCACATGCCTCCACTTCTGAATTGTGAGGGGAAGACATAGAAATGTTTCCAAACCTTTTGGACTGATCTGGGTTCTGGGTGATTCCTTTTCATGAGGTCGTGGATACTGCAGTATAGTGTCTGAACTGTCTATTTCAACAAGAGTTCCCACCTATCCCTTCTCAGACTCAAAATAGTTTCAAACCCCAATTCCTCTCCTTGGACATCTCAAGAACCTCTACTTTTAATTAAGAAAGGTAGGTGATGTAGGGACATTATTCTTTTTTTTTTTTTTTTTTTTTTTTTGCGGTACGCGGGCCTCTCACTGTTGTGGCCTCTCCCGTTGCGGAGCACAGGCTCCGGACGCGCAGGCTCAGCGGCCATGGCTCACGGGCCCAGCCGCTCCGCGGCATGTGGGATCTTCCCGGACCGGGGCACGAACGCGTGTCTCCTACATCGGCAGGCAGACTCTCAACCGCTGCGCCGCCAGGGAAGCCTGGGACATTTTTCTTAAAGTTCACAGCCCAATGAATATACAAAAACACCAACAAAAAGGCAGGCTACAAAGTCGGGTCAACACAAAAAACTTAACCACAGAATCTGGTTTTGACATTAAAATAGTTTGTCTCTTTGTGGCACCTTGATTGTAACAGTTGGTTGGATTGCTAACAACTGCTTTGTTTGTTTTAGTAAAGTCAAAGCAAAATAACCATCTGTTGTTAAAGTAAAGCCACTCAGAGCTGTCTCAAGGTGCAGGCATGATTTTTCCCTAATTGTGAGAAGCGTATTGAAAATTTCAATGGGAAAACTATTTTAAAACTCTAGCTATGTTTTTCTATGATTTTTTGGGCAACTTTTGACTTCTGATTTTACCACTGTACCCAAGCTTAAGAGCCAGTTGTTGGAATTTCTCAGTTGAATTTCTCATACTTGAGAGCTCTCTGACAAATAGGTAGCCAAACCCCATATACTATGCCTTCCGCAAAATGCTTGAAAAACCCGAAGAAGTATGAGTAAAGGATCAATTCTTTCCCCTAAATAAATGACAGGGTCAGAGCTTCTAGAAGAAAACAATGATGCAGCATTACTTACTGGTCATTTCCATTTTCAGGCGTGCCTAGGAGAGGAGGGAATTGTTATTAGAGCTGTGAGGAGCTTGGCTGCAAAAAACCTGAGACCCCTGCCACTTTCTGCTCAAAGATGTCTCTAAAGCCAATTTTTAACTTTTCAGTCTCTCGCCCCATTCCCCGCCCCACTGACCCACTTCCTCAGAGGTGGTGACTACTCATTCCTCAGTCACAGCTCATACATTCATGGTATAGTCTCAACTAGGCCAACTCCACTGAACTTAGCTCTGGACTAATTTTAATCTTATAGTTTCGTATCACTGTGTGGAACTATTATCCATTATTGTACATCCCACAGACACCAAAAAAGGTTTCAGTATCTCTGGAAACAAATTCTTCTCAGAGTATTGAATTACCTGCTTAAAACAAAGAATTGAATTTTTGGCTTTTCTTTATATGTTGCTCTCTCTGGGGACCTAAATCTCTGTATTTGTGGTGAGCCACGATGCTGTTATTGCTTCTAATTGCATCTGCAGCCCACGGATTCAGCTTCTCAGAAGTGCCCTACAAAATGTCACTGAGCCTACTAACTGTAACTAATCTTTTGTCCGCTTTGCCAGGCTGTTCCACGAGGGTCGGTAGAAAGCAAGTCGGGCTCGTGAGAACGCAGTGATTCATTCTGCACAAGAGCATGGCCTCTCAGGAGCAGATCGTGCTGGTCAAACCTTGCATTAATCTGTGGCCTATTAGGCAAAATATTTAATGTAATCACTTAAGGTCCCTGCTTTGTTCCGGATTTTGCTGTGATTTTATTTCATGGCTCGGCTCCCATCTCTTGGATTTCTTTTCATCTCTAAGGTAGCTCATATCAGGATATGCCTTTTGAATATCATTCTCTTGACTTTGACCATCGTTGTTTTATAAAGACGTTGATTTCCATGAAAATGTTGGCTACTGCTATTTCTGTCACCTTGGCTAAGTTACTCCAACATGAATCTTAATCCCTAGAGTTTAATTCATGGCACGGCATGCTGTTCACCAACTAGATCTAACTTCATCTTCCCTACCATCAGTAGGGTTTTAACAACATTTTAAAATACCCATTATCACTGTTATGTATGATATCACCTGTACTGCTCATAGCCCCGTCTCCCAATGAGCAGATATTTTCTTGTTTGCCTGTTTTAATATTTTTTCTTAGAATACTGTAATATGGGTTCATTAGCAGATAGATGCATACCAGCAGACTACTTTCTGCATATATGCCATTGTTATTTGGGTTAAAGCTCACACTACTGTCAACATTATCCAGATAAGCTTAATTTCATACAGAAATCTCTGATTCATATTGGCTTCCAGAGAGCAGAGTGGGTTTACGAATTTTCTGAACTTAATGAAGGCTCACCCACATACTTGAAGAGTGATTAACTCCGGGCATTTAATGGTGCTAATTTAATGATAACAATGCTGTGAATTCTGTTTGGAAAACAAAGTTGACAAAAGATTTGGCTAACTGTACAATTGCCCAATTTAACTTGGGCAATTTAATTGCCCAAAATAACTTCAGAATAACTTCATAGTGGTAGGAATTTCATACATTTTTTCTCAATGATCCAGTTCACCTATAAAGTCCCCTTTAATAGAAAGAGTCAACTTTTCAAATAACTTATTTGCAAATCTTCCTATGCAAAGCAGTTTTTCAGTACAGGGTATTTTTACTGATGGATTTAGCCCACAATTTTTTTCCCTATCCTGTATACTCAACACCCACTGGCTTCAACTAGATTGGTTGAGTTCCCATAAAAGATAGGATTGGTGGTTTAGAAACTTAGAGAAATTAAACTGATTTATAAAAATGCTATTTCCCCTCTGGAAACTGAGTGAGGAAACATATTCCAGACTTTATTAAGAAGTTTATTCACTAACTCCCAGAGGGAAAGACATTGATTTGTTTTCTTCTTATTTTACAGCAAGAGCTAAAATGAACACTGCTGTTTTCATATCATTACTTTCCCTTGCACTGTCCTGCTCAGGCGCCAAACTGTCCGCGCCCTGCACAGTCAGGGATTGGCCTCAGGAACAGCATTCATTACTGTCCTGGGGGCACATTGTCCATGGGGTAAACAAAGAAGAGCGTGGCTCATAAAAATGATTCATTTTTACTTTTTAACAGTATATGAGACTTAGGTAGAGTTCTGTTAGTGAACTGTTTAGAATTAAAGTGAGGAAAGGAAAGGTTCTATTTTACTGAAAATTACAAAATTTAACTCAACAAGCGTATCATAAGGCTCTCTCTGCTATTTATTATGCACAATGCCATGTGAGTCATACATAGTTTGTGACTTGGAGGGGTTGCCTGAAGTTACAGACTGAATGTTTGTGTCCCCTCAAAATTCATATGTTAAATCTTAATGCCCAATGTGATGGTATTAGGATGCTGGGCCTTTGGAAAGTGATTAGGTCATGAGGGCAGAGTCCTTAGGAATGGCTTAGTGCCCTTATAAAAGAGACCCCAGAGAATTCTCTTGTCCTCTCTGCCACAGGAAGACACAGGCAGATCTGAAAACCAGGAAGAGTGCGCTCATCAGACGTCAAATCTGATGGTGTGTTGGTTGAACTTCTCAGCCTCGGGAACTGTGAGAAATAAATGTTTGTTGTTTAAGCCACCCAATCCATGGCATTTTTGTTACAGCAGCCTAGACAGAATAAGATGTTTGACTTTCAGGGGAAGCAGGCTTATAGAGAAGTAACTATATTATAGTGTGATGAATACTATCATTAAATTCTGTGGAATTAGAAGTAATAGAACACTCCACTCTGCTTAAAGAGATGGGGTGTCTTAAAAATATGGATTAAGTTTGTTTTTAAGCTAGATCCTAATGGATAAGTTGGAGATTAGGTGTGTTATAAAAGTTAAGGTGTGCAATAAAGATGTTAAAAAAATATATATACAACTATAAAAAAAAAAAAAAAAGTTAAGGTGTGTTATGAAAGTTAAGCAGTGGGCTGAACATTCTAAGAGAAGGAATAACATGGATGAAGCAGAATCCATGGCACTACGTTATACATCCAGGAAGGTGTCTGAAATGGAAAGACAGATTGAAGTTTAAGATAACACAGGCGAGTTCCCAGGAACTGGAGGGGGATTCAGAGGAAGCATGAAATAAAAAGGGAGCTCAAGTTCCTGGAACAGAAAAAAGACTGAATAAAGACCGAAAGAAATCTCAATAAAATCGGGACTTTAGTTAATAATGTATCAGTTTTGGTCAATTAATCGTGACAAATATACCATACTAACGTAAGATATTAATGATAAGGGTAGGTGGGAACTCTCTATCTATCTTCACAACTTTTCTGTAAATCTAAATCTATGCTAAGGTTTAAAAGTTTATTTAAAAAAAGACTTTAAAATGTAATGCCATTATGGGAATCATAAATATTCAAGAGGCAGGGGGAAGAAGATGAAGCAGCAAAAAGAAGAAAAAGATTGAGGATGTAAAAGAAGGCAGTGTCATTTTAAATGAAAGAAGAAAGACTTTCCAACGCTAATGGAGAGATTAAGGAGGATAATAAAGAATTGTTGGACTAGAATCCCTCTAAAAATTGCAGTAGTGTCCAATCCTGAGGAACTGATTCAATTAGCAGAACACACAGGTGTGGAAGACACCTTCACAGGAAGGAAGCTGTGCCTCCCAGGAGGGAAGTAAGTCACAAAACACGCTTCTTGAAATTACGCGTCCCAAAGTGAAATTCTTAGCCATACTTCCCTTTATTCTCTGTTATACGGAAATGGAACGGATCTTCGCTATAGCTAACGCGTGTCACTTTATGCCTTCTTTACTACCGTAGTCCCCTGACCACCCACAAAACCAGGGCTTTTTCATTTAAAAAAAAAATGTGTCCGTATTCGATATTATCTGCCATTAGTAGCTAATTTCTACTCCTTACCTTCACCGGCATTCAATGGATCTCTCTGCCCCTTTCCCTCTACCTCTGTGATCAAGCAATACAGCAGTTCGTTTCTGTGTATAATTCCTCTCTCCTCTTAAGAGTTTAAATTCAAGTTTAGACTGAGCATGTTTATTATCCTTTCAGGAAGACAAAATGAAACAAAACACTGTTACCTACCTGGGTCTTTCTTCCAGCACATTCGATACAAACCCACCAAAGCAAAGACTGAAAGTGTTATCGCTATCAAAGCAATAACCACAGGCAAAATAATACCTAAAAAGTATTGGAGACATTGTCAGTTAGAGTGGCTATTGAATTTCACAACAAATCATTCATGAACTGAGGAAAAGCATGTATGCTTCCTTTCTTCTTTAAACATCATTTTATTTAAAAGAAGATTTTATTTTTAAGCAAAGAAGATAATTATCTGATTCCTGGGTTTTGCCCTAGTTGTCATTTCTGATGTATCCACTTGATGTCAGTCTTGTAGCCTTTCTGAAATAAAACTCCAAACCTAAGGAAGACAGTTCCCACTTTCCTGGTGACTGAAGGAATGAGGAGGTGGGAGACTGGCCAGGCAGAAGCTGTCCCCTATGGTCAGAACCATATTCACACTTTATATTCTTTACTACTTTATAGTGAAGTTACTAATACATAGCTTGGATGAAGGCATTCAGAAGGCTCAAACTTCCAATTATAAGATAAATAAGCACTAGGGTTTTAATGTATAACATGATAAATAGAATTAACTCTGTTGTATGTTACATATGAAAGTTGTTAAGAGAGCAAGTCCCCAGAGTTCTCATCACAAGAAAAAAAATTTTTCTGTTTCTTTAATTTTGTATCCATATGAGGTGATGGATGTTCACTAACTTATTGTGATTAATTTCATGATGTATGTAAGCCAAATCATTATGCTGTACACCTAAAACTTATGCAGTGCTGTATGTCAATTATATCTCAATAAAACTGGAAGAAAAAGAAATATATATCCTCTACTGGTTCTAGTGGAAATGCTCTAGTCATAAAGCTGGCTTCTTAAAAAAAAATCACTAATATCTTTCTGTAAAAATATCTTAGGACTAAAAAGGCATACAATAACATAAGTGGATATAGATGGATATCATGGTGGAACAATATGGTCCAAGAAAGATGAGCATTGTGTGTATTTGCGAATGTCTGCTTGGGGGAGTGGTGTTGCTACAGTAAACTAGGGTGAGTTTTTGCTGTTCTCATTAAAAGAAGGGTTTTGCTGTTTGTTTGTTTTAGCATCTGCCTTCTTTTCTGACAGTCATTTCCCAGGTTAAAACAAGAGTGAAGAAAGGAAAAAGCTGTCATAGGGATATAAGTAGAGATATAGATGTTATAGTTACTGTTTAGTTAGGTGTTCTCATCTGCTGGCATATGTACTCCTTATATTTACCGGGGGATTGAGAATAGCTAGGAGATTCATTTGTAGGGTGGGTTACACTTCACTGTTATGGTTAAATATTTGTTTCAAGTAAGTTCTGCTGGGTTCATATTAGACCTTACATGAGATCATTAGTGCCTCCCAAAATGAAGATGGCATGAATCAGCGGCTCAATAAATGCAATACTGACTTATTGAATGGAATGACTTTACCTAAACCTAAGATAATCTTTTATTATCACAGCTTCACATATATTCATCTTATTCTTAATTTTCAGGGAAATTAATGAATATTCTCCATTCAGTCCTAGCATAAACAGTGGCTGACATATATATGTTTTTGCTAAAATGGAACTTTTCTTAAAAGGCCATTTTTAACATTAAGATAAAGTTTTATAAAGGTGAAAATTCATTTTTATGGAGCTCTCTGCCCATGCACTTTGGCTTATCAGAGATTAGTCCCATCAATTCACCTTGACCCCTGGTGGTAGCTGCTTAGCACTAAGGTAAGAAAAAAAAAATCCCCAAAGTGTATTTATTAAAGCCAGACTCAATGGGAGGAAACTTTCAAAGCAGGTGGCAATTATATAGGATTATAATGGGATTGCAGGTTCAGTAAAGTTGAGAAAAGGCTGTCTATAGTTGAGTCCCTTCCCTTATTGGTAACATTCGAACTTTCTGCAGTTCTACTGCCTTGAATGAAGATGCACGTATTACTCACTGGAATAAGAGGGGCTGGTTGAAGAAGAGCTTGCATTTTTTGCATTCTCAGTGCCTATTATTTTAAGAAAGAAAAAAAGTCACCTTTGGTTAATGTGCACCAATTCTCACAATCCTCCCCCCACCTCCCCACTCCCCGTTTAGGTAAGCCTCTGTGATTTATAGGTATGAGTCTTGGAGTGAAAACATTTTATCTCATTCTGAAAGAGTTCTGTTTCATGACTCAAGATTGGTAGGTAGTTAATGTATACAATCTGATGAGTTTGGACACATGCATATACCCATGAAACCATCCCCACAATCAAGGTACTAGACAGAGTCATCACCTCCAAAAGTTTCCTCGTGTCCCCTCCCTTGTTTGAGGATGTGCAGTTTTGTTGTGTATAAATTATACCTCAATAAGCTGTTTTTTAAATGGGTGAGGTTTTCTTGGTGAGGAGGGGTCAGGCGAAGCAAGTTTCCACTCATACACACAGAAGTCGTACCTTGAGACTGGGAGATGTTATCCAGAATTGTTACTGATATTGAGGATAATGTAGGGATTCTGGAAGGTGACGCATCTGGTCGTAGAGTGTTAACTGTAGGAAAATGATAAATGTAGCATCAGATGGTAGTATTTGCTCTTCTTACTGGATTTCTTTGAAGATTCAAACAATTTGCATTTCTGATGATCTGTAAAAAACTGCTTATTGTTTTATAATGGGATACATACAATTATACATTAAATCATGAGTTCATTCTATCTCCTCCTGTAGAGATGATTAAATTTGGAATGAGAAAACTTGGGTGTTAGTATTATACCTTCAAGGACTGGCCAAAACAACTTGAGCAAGTTTCTCATCTTAGGCAACAGACTGTATCACCTACTGCATGAAGTTCTGCATCCCATAAGAATGCAAATCAATGCAAAAGCATTAATCACATTTTAGATATTACAACTTTGAGTGATAGTGACTCTTTTCACTATAAATACTTCAAATGGACATAAATACACAGGACTTCAGATTTTATAATGTTTCTTAGTGGTCAAAGAGAAAGATTGCAATTGAGACTTTGGTTGCAAGAACTGGGGAAAAAAATCATAGAAGATCCCTTCATTTTTATCTCAGCAGTGATTTACACTTGTATGCCTTTTCTAGAGTAACTGCTGCTTGGATGCATTTCCACCACTATCCATGCTCTTTTACCATGGCAAATGTTAATTTTAAATTGATTATTATTATTTGTTTGCATAAGTCAACATTTGCCATCTTTAGTCAGAAGGACTAAAACAAAAAAATAATAAATACAAATTTATTATTCAAAACTCATAAATCTCAATAAATTTCAAGGAAACACAGATAATTATATGTTTTATAAATGTACAACGTTTATTCTTGTGAATCTGTAATAAAATGTAATTTGTATTTTGAACATTTTTTGAAAAATAATTCTCTTTTTCTTGAAATATGAAGTAATATCTTTTAATCACACCTGTTTGCCTTGTCTCTACACTGAATTGCAAGCTCCTGGAGTGTGAGGGCTGTAATTCCCACCATCCACCACACGAAGCTCTGACCACAGTGGGTATGCAGTAAGACGTAGCTGACTGCTTGGATGAACTAAGAGGCACCTCTTACAATTATGGCCCCCTTAGGAGTGTGAAGGCCATGCATAATTGCATGAAAGAAATTGATATTGCCTATGACTGCCTTGTATCTTTCTCTCTTTGTCACCCACAGCCCAGCACGCACTGCATGCTTATGCATTTTTGACATTTGTGGCGGGGAGAATAATGTTAAGAGTCTGTTCTTGCCAGGCAAGAGATCTGTGGGAGGAAGCTAGATATATGCCCGTAAGAACAAAGAAAAATGTCAGGCTCGTGCACTGAGCAGGCAGAAAAAGGAATCTTAAGTACAAGAGTGGGAACTAGCTCAAACCTCGGTGCTTAGTTGCTTTTTCCAGTGTCAAGTGTTCTAGTGAGGATGAATGGTCTTTTGGTTGTGTTGGTAGAGAATGAGATGGCTGATTAAATAACCAATGGCATTAATTCCCCTGGGATTTCCCAAGGGTTAATTTTCAAGACTCCACATTCTACCTTATTACCTTCTCATAGACAGGCTAAGTGGCGGCTACAGTTCTGAGTATAATCTATCTGGTTCAGATGAAACTCCAAGCTTTCCTCCTTAAAAGGTTAAAACGTGTTGACTGTCCAGTGCCATTATTGCTAATGATCCACAGGGAGGCAATAGAATTAACCCTTCTTAAAAGAGGATTTGTTGGCTCCTTGAACAGAGACTTATTTTTTTTCTTTTAACCGCAAACTTTAGTTAATAAATCATTTCTGAAACCAGCACACACGCACACACATACACACACTTCACCTCTATTCCATTGAATGATTTCTGGTGTTTTCTAGTCTCTTTTACTTCATTTTAAAAAATACTAGTCATGACCCACTAATGGGAATTAACTTACAGTTTGAGAAACCCTGTCCATTAGCGTGATCATATTGATGAAACTACAGGTCTTGGCTGAATTCATAAATTGTGAGTTTAATGTAATTCTTCCTGCAATTAAGATGGAGCCATGGTATGTTCAGAGCTTATGATTTCTGTGGATTTCACTGAGACTCTATTACGCCACGTTCTACTAAAGCGGCATCGGCAGAGGAGGTACAGGAGAGGTACAGTGGATGGTTGAGAGCATGATTCTGAAGACTTGAGTACGCGGGCTCAAATCTGACTCCAGCACTTATTTGCTGTGGGATCTTAGGCAAGGCACTTAAACTCTTTGTGTCTGAGTTTCCACATCTACAAATGGTGATTATAATTTTTCTACATCATAGTGTTGTGAAAATTAAATAAGTAAAAATAAATTTAAATTGCTTAGAAGTGTTGATACTGATATGTTTATAATATATATAATTACTATAAAATTATGTTAATTTATATTATATTAATATATTATTTTATAATAATATCCTATTGTTATATTGTGATTAGGCACCTACAGAGTTGTGTCTTTCACCCAAAGTCAATTTATCTAATTTTCTCCGGTATTCTAAGTGTAAAGCTATATGACACTTCAGACACTTACATGTTTTCAGAAGCTTCCTTGCTCTAGTCAGGAACTGGAGAAACTGGAGTATATGGTATTCTTAGATGACATCAGTTTGCTCTTAGACCTTGACTTTTGGTGATTGTACTGATTATTGAATTGCAGATATGGTATGTTATGACTTAAAATTTAGTTTGCAAACTTCAGGCCAGAAATTGGAGCAGGCTGTTTGAGGCAGAGACCTCAGAATAAAGTCTGTTGTAATAAAGAGACTTGAAGAACCAAGTCTGTTGTAATAATGTGTACCCAAATTTACCCGATGGATTAGTCTCCAAAATTTACAAACAGCTCATGAGGCTTAATATCCTCAAAACAAACAACCCAATCAAAAAGTGGGCAGACCTAAACAGACAATTCTCCAAAGAAGACATACAGATGGCCAAAAGGCACACGAAAAGATGGTCAACACCACTAATTATTAGAGAAATGCAAATCAAAACTACAATGAGGTATCACTTCACACCAGTTAGAATGACTATCATCAAAAAATCCACAAACAATAAATGCTGGAGAGGGTGTGGAGAGAAGGGAACCCTCCTACACTGATGGTGGGAATGTAAATTGGTACAGCCACTATGGAGGTTTCTTAAAAAACTAAAAATAGAGCTACTATGTGACCATGCAATCCCACTCTTGGACATATATCTGGAGAAAAACATGGTCCGAAAGGATACATGCACACCAATGTTCACTGCAGCACTGTTTACAATAGCCAAGACATGGAAGCAACCTAAATGCCCCTCGATAGAAGAATACATAAAGAAGATGTGATACACACACTCACACACACACACACACAAACACACACACACACACACACAATGGAATATTACTCAGCCATTAAAAAGAATGAAAACAACGCCATTCACAGCAACATGGAGGGACCTAGAGATTCTCATACTGAGTGAAGTAAGTCAGACAGAGAAAGAGGAATATCGTGATATCCCTTATATGCGGAATCTAAAAAGAAATGATACAAATGAACTTATTTACAAAACAGAAACAGACTCACAGACTTAGAGAACGAACTTATGGTTACTGGGGGGAAAATGGGGGGAAGGGATAGTCAGTGAGATTGGGATCGACATGTACACACTGCTATATTTAAAATGGATAACCAACAAGGGCCTACTGTATGGCACAGGGAACTCTGCTCAATGTTATGTGGCAGCATGGATGGGAGGGGAGTTTGGGAGAGAATGGATACGTGTATATGTATGGCTGAGTCACTTTGCTGTGCACCTGAAACTATCACAACATTGTTAATTGGCTATACTCCAATATAAAGTAAAAAGTTTAAAAAAAAAATTTACCCTATTGCCATCTGACAGTGGAACACATTTGGCTCTTGCTGTAAACCGATTACTAGGTAAATCATTGGAAATTTTAAAGACAGAAGACCTTATTGATGTCCCAGGGTACCTCTGGTGGTTATGAGAATGCACCTCATGGAAGGCGAACTACAGTGTAATTGACCGAGGTTCCCCACCTGCTCTCTGAATTCCATCACTGTGTTTGTGCTGATGCCATACCTCCTGCGGGCTGCTCCCAGCCAGTGATTGAGCCTGGCAAGTATATGAAAGCAGGTCTGCTCCCGGGAGCCATGGGTTTCTCTGAGGAGGGACTTGAGCTGGAGGAGTCCCTGATGGCCTTCTCAAACCTTCCTTAAAGGAAGGCATACCATACACAGATATTAACAGGAGTAAAAGTGTGAGAGACAGTAGAGGATAAAATATTCTAGTGTGAGAAAGAAAATAAAACTGTTCTATTTTCATTTCACCATGTTTCCTATATTTCTTTTTGATATGTATGCATTTGATATGTGTTTGAGGGGCTAAATTCAATTGAACGGAATGCTTATTCATTTTTCTCGTTATTTATAAATAATTGGAACTGGTCTGTAACTGCAATTTGATGGATTCATGTCTCACTTTTAAAAAGAACTTTCCAGCACTTGTCACAATAACTCATTCACTCCTCCTTAACGCATTTTCTTCATGTGGCTCCAGTAGAGCACACACTGCTGGTTTTTCTCCTACCTTATGTCTTATTCTTCTCAGTCTCCTTGGCTGGTTTCGTCTCTTCTTTCTGACTCAGTCTTGGAGGGCCCCAGAATGCAGTCCTTTGTCCTCATCTCTAACTACACTAATTTCATTGGTGATTTCAGTCAATTTCAAGGTTTAAATAGAATATCAGTGCAAATGATCTCCTAATTTATAGTTCCAGCCTAGACCTCTTTCCTAAATTTCAGATTCATAATCATGGCAAATAATAAAACTCTGAAACTCAACATGTCCAAACTTGAATTTCTGCTCTATCTGCAGCCTTTCTATCTTAGCTGGTGGCAAATATTCCTTCCAGTTGCTCAGGCCAAAAGCCTCAGAGTTATTTTTGATTCATCTCTTTCTATACTGTTCCAAATGCAATCATCAAGAATATCTACAGGCTCCACCTCCAAAATATATTCGGAATTTGGAGA